TCAATTTCAAACACTTAGGTAACAGATTCCCTGTAAATTTTCTCATAATTATTTTTCCTAATATTTTCTTTGTACAATGTCAAGATCATTCAGATACTGTCCCTATTGCTGTCTTTGACTCTGCAAACATAACGAAGTCACCAATGTTTTAGTCTTTCTAACTGTAAAATGATAGGCTCTAAATAATTCTGTAGTTCAAAAGATTTTCTGGAAAGGGATTCTCAGTCCTGTGGTTTTTCTTTTTCATCAAGCTCTACTTTTTTTTTCCTTTGATTCATTGTCTCCTTCCTAAAAATTTTGTTACTATTGTCTTTTCCGACTCACTCTCTCTTTACCTTTCTTTTATAATATTTACTCTCACTCAATTAACTCTGATCATTATAACCCTCCATCTTCTTTTTGAATATTTATTTAACATAATTGATTTTCCCTTCATTGTTTATGATCTATGGTTAATTTCATCTACTCCAGTGGATTAAGCTGCTATCAATTTACTAATGATTGTTTAAATTGAAGTTTTTAATCTGCCTTCCCTTCTGGGCTTCTTATTTTATATCTAACTACTGAGTTGAATATCTGCACTTGCATCTTACCAGCCCCTAAACAGAAGTCATTATTCTTCCACCTTTTCTCCACGTCCAAAATTTGATTCACTAATAACTTGTCAATTAATCGCATCACAGGTCAGCGAAGCACTTGAGAGAGAAACCCTACATGCTTCTGGAATTTTTAATACTCATTATATCTTGGTTTCCCCTTCTCAAGGCTCACTTTCCCCTCTAAGCTTGCCTTCTTGAAAGACTAGTACACTTACTGTTTCTACTTCTTCACTTTCCAGTTATTCTTTTATTTTAATTCTACTTGCAGCCCAATTATTCTACCAAAACTGTTCCCACCAAATTCATCAACGCCTTCAGCTGTCCAATCCAATTGTCCTTTTAGTCAATATTTTATTGAATATTTAGGTTGCATGCACTATTGACCATGAACTGTTTGTGGAATCTTTAAAAAATGTGGCTTCCAATATGCTAATCTCTTCTAGTTCTTTGCTCTTCTCTGTTTTTTTCCTGTCTTTAAATATTAGTATATGTTAGGATTTCATCCTTGACTAATACTTTATGTAAATGAACCTACTTATCTTTTTTTATAGACTAATTATTTTCAAAGAAATAACTCCAGTCAAGGTTTTTGTTTCCTAATAGTTTATTTACCTTTAGTGTTCCCTCAGGTCACTTCACCTAGATATATCTAAAATAGAAATTTTTGTTTCTCATGCCCATTCTTTCTCCTCAAACCTCTCTTTCATTCCTAACTCTTCACTGAAGCCAGAGATTGAAGGGCCTCCCAAACATATCTATCTACCTCATTTTCATAATCAATCCACTATGAAGTTTTGACAATTTCTCTGATTTATATTTGTATGATTTGTAGTTCTACTATCATTGCTTAGTCTCATAACCTCTAGACCTCTCTTCTAGCTCAAGATAAAAAATGTATCGAATGCTTTTAATATAGGCTTACACTTTATTTGTACTATCCCAAATCTCATATAATCCTTATAATATCCCTATGAGATAGAATCTGTTATTATTAGAATTTCACTAAGAGTATCAGAGCCAGGAGAGTCACCGGGGTTATTCTGATTTATGAGCCCCATTTGTACCTTTACATGATATTGGCTATCCTATTGCAAAGGGTTCCTAATTGGTCTCTTGACTCCTAATTGATGTTTTTGCTTTCATTTTACCCTCCTCCCCTTAAATATGTCAAAATATTTTTTTAATGAAAAATTGAACGTCTCTCTTCTGCCCCATATCACTCTCAAGTCCAAGCTCCTTAGAAGAACTCACAGAATTCTTCATAACCTTGTTCTTTCTTAATCTCCCGTCACTTCTTTCCCATGCCTCCAATACTGTGTCAAAATCTATGCTCTAGTAACAGAGATATTTGTTGTTTCCTCGAGAAAGAATGCTTTCCATGTCTATTCTCTCTTCTCAGAACTCTTTATTAAAGAACATCTTTCCAGGTGCCACTCAATTGCTATCTACTCCAAGAAAGTAACCCTTAATCCTTATGTTACCTCCCCTCTATTGCATACTATGAAAATATTCTACACATATTTCTATCTAACATTTGCCACAATTTCTCCATGTGATTCTAAAATATTTTAAAGGGAGGGGACGAGGTCTTATTCAGTGTCTAGCACATGATTGGGTGTGTGAACTAAATATTGCAGCTGTCTTAGTTATCTCCTTCTTTCTCTACCCCCAAATTCAGTTTTTTCTTTGGAGAATATTGTTCATTTCATCTCAAACATGTATTTTAACTTCATCTCAAACATGTATTTTAACTTATTTTCTTTCTTTCCATTAGATGGATTCTAATTCAGTTCTTTATTGCTTTAGTTATTCTTGAAAAATAGCCTCAAATTTCACCATTCTGCCTCTAATTTTTCCTCCTCCACACTCAGCAGTAGTTCTCAATCATTGTGGACCATGGGATCACCTGAGGAGCTTGTCAAATTGTAGGTTTCTGGGTCCCAACAGAGATTCAGGTTCATTAAGTCTGTGGTGGGCAGAAGGCACATGCACATTTAATCGATACTTCCTATTAGGTACTTCCACAGCAAGTTGTTCATATACCACTAGTGGAGATACTCTGCTCTATGTTATCGGTACATTTTTTTCCTAAAACTCAGATATGATCAAGTTATTACTTGCTGAAATGCTTTTGATGTCTCTCTTTCATCTAAAATATATTGTAAAATGATTACCACGTGGCCTAGAAATTTCTGCAGTTTCCAATCTGCCTTTTGAAGAACATCTCCTAGCACTCTGTCCCTACGGTTCACTCCCTTGTATTCTGGCTCTTTTTGTATCACACACACTCTATGTCCTATATATGACAGATGCTTTTTTTTTGCCATCACTTGGAAGTGATTATTATTTTGTTTGTGTTCCATCTGCATACCTGGAGTGCCTTTTGAACTGGTCTCAAACTAGTGAACTCCTTACTCATCCTTCCAGCTACAACTCAGTCAATAAGGCCTTCTCTGAATCAGCTCTCCTCACTTCTCTCCTTCTACTCTTATTTTGGCCAAATCAATCATCATTCCTCTCCATTTCTAGGCATTACCCTTTTCCACATCTGACACTCAGATTATAGAAACTCATTACTTATTTCCTACTGTCTCTTGCCTTAGAGAATCTATAATTGAGAGATCCTATGTTGTTTACATTATATTCCAAGGCCAGGAATTGCTTTTTACTCATTTTCACACTATCGTAGCTTCCTTCAAACATGAACGCCTCTTTCCACAGCATCAAGCAGTATAAGTGTGAAAAGAGAAGCAGTGTGAGAGGGAGCCAGTGCATGTGGAGATCAGAGCATTGGCATGTTTTCCCAAAATGTTTTTAAATTGTCATTTCTAAATAAGACTATTTACTTTCAAGTTTCAGAAAAATTTTATCTAACCCTAGAACAATGGAACTGTGCCTTATGGAAAGACTACAGTTGTGTTAGAACTTTAAAAAATGCCAGAGTCACTGCTATCTGAGTCCTCTGTTCAGTATCTCAGTATTTTCAATTCTGACAGACTTGGCACTTGAAGAGGGTTCTACAGCCTCCAGTGATATAATGTGAGAAGAAGTTAAAAATACAAAGTAACAAGGCACACACAGAAAAGTGAGCTGGGTCACTCTCTACTTCTGGCTTCCTTTACCCCCATCCTCTATCCAGCCAACAAACTATTATCAGAAGCCACTAATTTAGATTTATGTGAAAATTGTGTTTTCTCATTGAAAACAGTGTCTGTGAAATGAACAGCTTAAGGAGATCTTTTTAAACTCTTATTTAGGTTCCACAACGTAGAACTCTAAAACTTGCCCCTGATCCTAAACTCGTTGACCTACCTTTACTTTTTTAGAGTTATGCAAGGAACGTAAGTCATGTTTTCTGTTTAGAATAAAAAAGATAGATGAGCAGAAGTATATTTGAGTATTCATTCTGAGCATGCTTTAAAGATAAGCGAGAATATTTTCAAAATATAAATTACAAAATTATTTTGTTGAAATAGATTGCAATCATGCTGTCCAAGGGAACTGGAAATAAGAGAAAACATTTGTAACCATGATGCAAAGTAAATGCAAGGGCAGTATGATTTAGCCATTGGACTAGGAATGTTAATGAAGAAGTTTCCAACTATTATCAGATTTAAAGTGTCTGAAATCTGAAAGAGGAGCCGTGAATTATGCAATGTTTATCTTACAGAAGTCAGAGATCCTAATGTAGATGGTGAGAGGGGTGGAGGTGGTGATGTGTTGTCAAGAACTTTAGGTTGGGTTTGTATTACTTTTATTTATACCCACAGCACAGAACAAAGGATGAATGCTGACCTGCAGCTATTCCTAGGGCTGGGTTTGTTCACTTCCTTAGGATAATGGTTACTTCCCAGTTTGGAAAAACAAAGTGCGCATATGTGCACTGAAATCGCTGTGCCAGATCTATTTAAAAGTCCTGATGCCCGTTGGTGTGGAACTGAAAAGACTTCCTGATCTGGGGTGGGTGTTAGCGTCCTTCTGCATCACAAAGGACTCGTGAAGAGTTATGATCACATTGAACATAGCAAAGGCATGAGCCTAAATTTCCTTTGAATTATACAATCATCTTTAAAAAAAAAAAAAAATGAAGGACTCCGTTCTTTTCATAACAAATACTTCTCTGGCATTTCAGTTTCTTTTCCACTCATACTGCCATATGACACTCCTGTCAGGGTTCTGGTTTCTTCAGGGAATTAACCTACAGAGCACGCACAGCAAACAAAATAGCTGTTTTTCATTGAAAATAAAGAGAGGATGTTTTTCTTTTTCCACCATTATCCTCCACCACTGTCCCATCACAACTTTAGGAATTCCTGCCGCACTGGCAGGACGGCACCACCCCCAGCCTCTCCCTTCCCAGCTCCGCGCTTCAGAGAGGTCAGAGAGCCGCCTTGTGCGGTCCTGCTCCTCAGCGTTCGCTTATGACGGCACTAGGACCCAGGGAAGTCCCTGAGCGAGGTTCGCAGAAAGGCAGCCAGACTCCTCCTTATCTCCAGTGTCAAACTTGACATCAGCCTGCGAGCGGAGCATGGTAACTTCTCCAGCAATCAGAGCGCTCCCCCTCACATCAGTGGCATGCTTCATGGAGATATGCTCCTCTCACTGCCCTCTGCACCAGCAACATGGATTGTCACCTCTCCATCCTCCTCCTTCTCAGCAGCTCTATTCTCAACTGCTTCGGGGAACTGACTCTCCAGCCTTCCAATGAAGGTAAGCCAGGTACCGCGACGCGCACAGCCCTGCCCCGCCAGGCTAACGCTCTTCAAAGCACGTTCTCACCGAAACCTTTTTAGGTCGTTAAGGTGTCTCCGAATAAAGCAGTTTGCTCTGAGAGTAAACTAAAGCTGTGTTTTTATCTTCGGCTGTCTTCTAAAACACTTTAATAGATCGTTTTGAATTGCCTAAACCTAAAATGTGTTTTTAATCTGAGACCAATTCAAGCAATTACCTTGTTTGCCAATTTTAAGCAGAAAAGAAAAGAAAATTCTCCAGTTTTTCAACCCAGGATGTTAATTGCCAAATAGCTATGGAAGTATTTTATTTTCTAATTATGATCATGTAGTACTCTGAGAAGTTTACAATAAAATTCAAGCCACCTTTCTATATTTTTAGTATGTTTTACCGTAATGACAGGTTGTTCTTAGGATCATGGCGTTATGAATGGAATAAAGAGAAATCAGAGTTTGTTGAAGAGAGAAGTGTGTGTGTGTGTGTGTGTGTGTGTGTGTGTGTGTGTGTGTGTGTGTGTGATGTTTGTGTTGCAACTGCTCTAAGTGATGTGTATCCCGCCAGGCGATGGTTTGCTCTATGGTACAGGTTCTAATGAGCAGCATATGCCACATTAACATAAGTAATATTTGCAGGAATTAGAATAAGCTAAGGTTGGATTTTCTTTGTTTAAGGGCTTATATACGAATAAGAGAATGTATTTAATGAATAGTGAGACGTTCCTGGGTAGGTATAGTTACTATCTGAATAGCAAAATTAAGAAGGAATGTTTATATGCAATATATTGCATTTCCTTGATGTTAGGTTATTTATTTTCCTCGTAATGAGCATTCATCTCTTTTCAATGGATTAAAGTGCAAACTTAATATTAAGGACACCAATGTTTCCTAGAAGATTGAATACTTAATAGATGCATTGCCTTTTTCCTCTATACCTTTTATGATCTCTTCCTAATGATTTGTAAATACAATCACTAACTCTTAAGACAAACTTCTCTGAGTAATTGATTGCTTTACAACTTTGATTTCCTCTCAGTCATTTTAAACTATAACAATAAAATTTAGCAATTTGTTTTGGAATTTAGCAATACTGAGCAGTTGATGTGCAAATGCTACATCATACATTATGTCACACACTAAAAATATATTGGTATATTATATGCATTACTATTTTTTAAAACTCAAAATATTTAGAAACTTTAAAATTAAATATAGAAACTGCCTCTCATTTGGTGACCCACTTTCACTGCTAATGGAGCAGTTTAATTTTATTCTTTCCTAAGTGACTGCCTTTATCCATTTTACAGATTTCACTAGATTTTTCTGTGTCTTTTTTTTTAATTGGGAACTTGAAAATTCTAAACTATAAGAATCAAGAAAATATTTTACCTACAAGTGACTTTTCTTTTTCGAATCAAATCGAAATGTTTATTTGAAAGTAATGGTCATTCTTCATAAATGAAAGGCAAGAGTAGTCATTTGTACAATGAGTAACATATCAATAAGTTAAAATTAATGTTTAATATTTGTTTTTTCAAAGATATTAAAATATTGACAATAACTAGGAAAATAGTAATATTATTTCCATATAGCTATAATAAATCGTATCTCTCCAGATGGACAATTTCTAAACTATTTAGATAATGGATTTTACTGAATTAATAATACAAAAATATAGCTGAGAGTATTTTTGTGGACAATATAAACTTTCAGTAAATTGCAAGAGAAAAAAAGTCCTTTTAAACTTATTTACACATATATTAGTGAATATTAATTTAATAAAACAAGAATAATCTAATGCAGATTGTTTTTAAAGCACACCTTGTGTATGTCTGGGTATGTAATGCATGTTATTATACAAGCAGGTACACATTAACAATATGTATATAGGAAGGCAAATATACTCAGAGAACTGACATAATTACATTTAATTTGCTTGGGTAAAAGTTTATCTATCCATTGTTCATGGATTATTCTTTCCAGATTGTGTTCTGTGGGTAGTGTCTTTTTCCCTTCTGAGGTCATGAAAGGAAGCTTTGAAACAAAATTTAAATGGAGTGATTTAACTTGGGTAATATTTGAATGAGGGTTTAAATATTAATACGATAGCTTGGGCCTTAATAGTTGAGTTGAACGACATGAAAAGTGAAAAACCCAAATATGTGCCAAGAGTTCCATGTAATTCTTCTAACAATGTCGTTTGAATAGAAAGCAATGCTTCTGAAAAGTCATATAGTGGGTAGAAGGAATAATGATAAAATGAATATAGCTTTCTGATATAAATTTTGAAAACAAATATGAAATACTAGGTATTTTAGCATTTAAAATGCTACATTAAAATTTATATTTCAATACTATATAAAATTTACTAGAAATTTACTAGTAAAATTTACTAGAATTTATTCAGCAATCTATTATGAAGTTAGGCTTGATTGAACTAAAAGAGAACAAAACCATACCATTGAGTTAATTGCTAGGAAACTTGTCATTGTGCTTTTCTTTTTGAGATATTGATAATCAAATTTCAATATTGAAATGCCATGAGTTCATAATAAGAAAAAAAAAGTTTAACCTGAGCCTTATTTTTATTAATCCAGTTACAAATAACTTTCTAATATTATTTCAAGAAAATGATTCCAGGTTATACTTTCTATCACTGGCCTCAATGATACTAGATTATTCATAATTTCTATGATCACTTAAATCAAGAATTGGCTTATATACTTAATCAGAAACTTTACAAAACCTGCATAGAATTTTATTAAAATCTTATCATGTTTCTCTATTTACATGACACACCAAGAAAAGACTTCCAATGAGAAATCAACTACTTTTCATGCCAAATAGGATTGTTAAACTATGTATTATTAGAAAACCTCATATTTTCTCCCTATTCCTATCCTAGGTGGATGATGATAATGGTAAATGAAAATAACTTTGGAAAGAGTTTAAAACTTAATATACAGTGAACTATTGGCTATTCTTAGTTCTATTTCTTTTAACATTGGATAAAGTACTCTCTTTAAACACTTCTACATTTGAAGGAATCTGAAGCAGAATGCATGCATGGCTTATTCATCAGTACATAGACCACTAAATCATTTTTTCTGTCCTAAAGTGTTTATGAATTAGATTAACATTTTACCCATAGTGTTCTTTACATTGGAAATGATAGTTTTCAAAATAAAATTAAATCTGCATGTTTATATACTTCTTATTTTAGGAGACTTTCATTGGAGTGGCTAGGACACTGTTTCTATGAAATGTCTTTCACTAGACATTAATCTTCTAAGTACTAGAGGAGCCTATGTGATTGTTTAAAGCTTAAAAGTAAGACTTGCAGATGAACACTGTATGCTTCCCTTTGAATTCAATATTAGGCAAACTTTAAAGAAAATAAACATTTAAATAATTGAATTTTCCCTTTTAAAACATTACTATGAATTGGCATCACTTTTTATATATAAATGTATCTTCAAATAATAATATATTGTGATTGAAATATTGAGAACTAAGCTATTATATCATCTTTATAGGTTTTCTTTTTTAGAAGAGGGTTTACATTTGCTTTAATAGCATTTCATCATGCTAGACTAAATAATTGAATGCATTACACATTTTTGTAATTTAATAGCTCTCCTAATAGCTCGCCTCTACCTCCTCCCCAACAGTTATAACTGTGCTATTTGCCTGGAGGTAGGAGAAACCTTAATTTCACTATTTTATAACCCACAACAGTTAACACTTGACCTAGGTCATTAACAGGATTATCAGCAAATTTGTTTAAGCTTTTACTGACAACTTGAATTGCTACGATAATATTTTGATTGTGCCGGAAAGAAACTTCTTATAACTTTCTCAAAATCTATCATGAAATTAATTCATTCTAAATTTATATCTTCCTAAAGATTAATATTGATAATAATAATTCAAATGGAGAAATGTCCACTTTGATACCCCATTCTCCTCACTCCTATGTTTCACATGTTACACCATTCTAGTCTTTATCTTAAATGAGCAATTAAGAACTCTTAATTTTATTAAATATTCTGGCAAAAACAACAGAGTTATTAATGCAAACCAGCTTCACTGTTAACTATCAACATTTTCAATTTTCTACTTTTTTATTGATGTTATGGTCGATGTCATTTTTCTGCCTATTTAAAGAAATAAAGTCAATTGGATATATTTATAACTCAGAGGCAACTGGAACCATAAAAGGGAAACTACATATAATAAAACACCATTGCCACGTGTTAGATCATGGTTGCATTTTATATAAAGACATTTCATGTATTTTTCCATGAAACACTAGAAATTGGGAGCTACAATGAAAAGTACTTAAATTTAACATAAATGTGTTAAACAAAATGTACACAATCAGAACCTAAAAGTTTTTTAAATATCATTTAGTTTGTTTAGGAATTTTCATGTGAAGTTTTTTAATTATTTAAATATAATTATAGTTTGCTCCTTGCTTATATAAACAATTTAGGAGTTTCACCTTGACTCTCAAGAAACATCCTTAAAGAAAGAATTCACATGTTATCCACATTTTAATATTCAAGTTTTGGCGTGTTCTTTAAAGGCCTCTCACTTTATTATCTCATAATAATTTTCTTTATAAAGATTTTTAAATGTTAAAATTGTTTCTGAAACTTTGAATTTTTCTGAAACAAAATACATGCAATTTTTAAATATCAAATAATCAGTTACATATGCAAAGGATTTTTAAAGGCGAAACATATTTCCACAGTATATTTGATTTACTAACTTCAACGCAAATGGAAACAGCAAGAACTGTTCTTGAGAGGTACATTTTCCAAGTCATAAAATCTTCCAGAAAATATTAATAAAACTTTCCACAAATCATCAAAACTTGATAAGTTCTTCTAGACATTGACTTACTAAGCAATCTCTGATGTGGGTTACCTTTGATTTTAGTCATTTTCCAATGATTTTGTTTGGCATAATACGAAATGT